ATTAAAACAAAGTCCTGATGACTTGTGTTGATGCCTGAGTTTGTTTTGCAGAAGAATAAGGTTTTTACTGATGTGTCCAAGCCACAGACTAACTTGGATAATAATCCTTGCAGTAAAATCTCAGTGGTGTTCTGAGATGCAGCTCGGAGTTCATGACTTCTGTCTCAAGTTCTTGTTTGCTGCTGTGCCAGAGAAATAGTCATGAACTTGTGATTTGGTATGAAAGTGGCTGTTTGGGAGAAAAAAAATAAACAAAAAAAACCCAAGGCAAAACAAAACCATTTTTGGAAGGTGAATCAGGGAATAATGGATCATTCTACTCTGCAGTAATTTTTCCTAGCAGTTGATGCCTGATTTTGTCTGCCATTCCAGTCAGAGAGAAATTGGAGGTGCAGTTTTATAGGACAGGGCATTAAAAATGAAAGGACAGCTCTTAGTCTATAATCATCTATTCTTTCAATGAGCAACCATTTGTAATTCCTGAACTTCAGGCAACCCACTGGCATCACCTGGCTGTGGTAAATCTGAAATTCCAAGGTTTTGGTGGAGATATAACAGGCCAAGGCACAGGGATAATTCTTGTGCTGCATCCTGGCAGAGGCAAAGGGGCTCCATGTTTCCATGTCTGGGATTAATCACCTTTTGGGAGGTGCTTTTATCCTGCTGCTGGTACCAGGGACATTTTGTGGCATCCTGTCCCTCTGATAATTCAGCACTGACAGAGGATTTTAGGTTGAGTAGTAAGAATGCACCTCAAGGACTTCCTTTCTTTAATTTCTAGGCTTGGTTTGTGTGCAGGATCTCCCTTTTCTTTCTGTTTTGCTTTAGAGAGGTGATGATTTTTACTTTTAGGTGAAGCTAATAAAACCTGCCTAATGTGAGTACCAGTCATAGGTTCTCTGGAAACTCCTGGGCTTAGGGAGAATTAATTTTAGCTGTTTGCCCCACTTGGATACCTTCTCTTCCTTTTTATGCTGCTGAAATAACAGGACATGGAGAAACAGAGCTTGCCCTCCATCGAGGGTACGTGGAGATGTTAAAGAGGTTGTGGGAGGAGGGAAAGGAGCAAAGGGCTCCTGAGGAAGAGCTGGAGAGGATTTTTAAGGCAGCAATAGAAAAGAGCTTCTAAGGAGAAATCTGGCCTTTCAGAAAGGATTCTGCAGTTTAACTTTTATTTGTGGCTTTTGTTGAACGGCATCCAGAAACTGTCAGTGGGTTTAACAAGAATGAGGTGGCTAAAATTACAAAGGGAAAGATTAGGCAGGAAAAAATAGTGGAAGACTGGAGGAGAAGAGGTTGCTTTTAGATGAGTCTGGGAAATACAGTTGGAAGGGAGGTAGGAGGAACAGGAAAGGACTCTGCACTTACAGCAAGAATCTGCCAAAAGCCAGACAGTGCTAGACAGTGCTTTTGGTGTGTAATAGGAAAAGGTCATTTGGGGCGGTTGCTCTGGAATTGCACATCTGTTGAGTTGCCATAAAAAGCACTGAACATCAGGAGTTTTCTGCAGAGGCCTCAGAAGAGCCTCGTTGTGCTTCTGATCACAGTGGGGACTCTGGTTCTTCCCCTTGTGGGGGAGCCTGCAAAGACTGCAGGGTGTGGTGTGATCACGGCTGTGGAGGTGATGAGCCAGGGGAGGGTAAATGAAAGTCACCTAATGAACTTGTGCAGTGTCACAGCCATTTCTTGTTGAGGATCTGGGGGTGTTTCACCCTTCTCCCTTCACCTCACAGTCCTGTATTTTGTGGATTTTTTGGCCCAATAGACTGTATAAGACACTGTCAGAGTGGCTGGCCAAAGAGTAATGTCCCCTGTGCCCAGTCACCTGCAGCATGTATGTGCTGTGCTGTAGATTGACTGTTTCAGCTCATATTTCACATGAAATTCTCTGACCTCTTAAGCAGGGAACACCTGACTCCTAAAATCATGTGCTGTGTGCTCCCTGCAATGTAAACTCCTCTGACAGTTCCTGCCCATGGTTTATGGCTTCTTGTGCCTTCACACTAACACTTAACATCTGCACCACAAAATTTGTAACATCAGTTTGTTCAAATAAAGAATCCACCAAGCATTTAATCCTTGTTTTAATGGCTGATGTTTATTTTAGTTTGAGGTTTCATGTACTCATGGAGGGATTCTCTACTCATGGTCCATAAATCTTGCAGGGCAGGAATGAGACTTCTCTGTGCTGGCTTGTTTCTGAAGTGAGGCTCTAGAGATGAGGCATTTTTATTTTTTGGATACCTCCATAAAACTGTCTCACTTTCAGGTATGAGCTGCAAATGCACTTAATGAGGATTTTTCCTGTTGGTTTTGGATCTTCCTCAGACATCTGTGATAGAGGACCTGGGCATTTAATTTCTCTTTGTTATGGTTCATCCATGCAACTGTGTTGTTTTCTCTATGTGCTTGATTATTCTGGAAAATTATTTGCATTGTGGTAGGCAGGAGGATGCAAAGAGCCCTGTGAAATTGGAAAGAAAGGATAAAATCATTTACTTGGAGGAGCTACAAATTTGAAAAACCTCTCCTTTTTTTAATGTAGCTAGTGTTGCTGTGCCTGTTCTGGAGGGTTCAGCAGTGACATCCTGAGCTCTTTGTGGGCTCTCTCAAGTCTTGTTGCCTGTTTTAAGTGCAGGTAAATTTACAGTTGGACAGTGTGAAGGTGAGGGTAAGAGCAAGGGCCTGGATTCTCCCTGTCAGGTCACTCTGGCTGCATTTCCAGGCAGCCTGTGGGGTGCTGGTTTTCCACACACATCCTCTAATCCCAAGCCTTTGGTGGAAAGCAGCCAGTCCACAGGAGGAGAGGGGGCCAGAGGCTGTGTGTGAACCAAGACTGCCCAGCCCTTTGCCAGGAGTTCCTTTAGGCTGCTGCTCTCCAAAAGTCACACCTTGCAGAGTTTTGTTCAGCTGCAAAGAGGTGCCAATTCCTTCATCTGCCTCTGGAGGAGGGACCACACTGGCAAATGACCATGGCATGACCTCCCCGGAGTGCAAGCTCCAGTCCAGCAGAGTGGGTTCCTCCTCTGACACAAACATCTTCTTTTCCACCAAAAAAGAGATTTTTAAGTGAAAACCCAGAGAACTCCAATTGTTTCCTTCCACTTAAACTTTTATACACAGCTCATTCAATGCCAGGCTGAGACTTAGTTGAACCTGGGCTTAGCCCCCCCATAAGAACAACTTCTCTACAGGTTTATACCACCTGGAAACATTTATTAGGGGATTGCCAAAATCAGAATTTGATGGGGAAATGCTGCTGTTTTCAGGAAGGTTCTGATTGATAGTAGTAAGATCCATATTGTCAGTGTTTTTACTAAAATAATTCACCTGCTTTTCTTTTTTCTTTGATTTCTCCTTGGTATTTAAATTATAATGTTGTGGACCTGTAGCTAAAGATGTGCTGCTGTGCAGAGGGAGGGATGGGAAATGAATGGAATTAAAGGAATAAAATAACACACAAATATGTGAGCTGTTCCATAGGAGTTTGGAGATATCTCCATCTCATAGTTGGCAAATCAAAGTGCATTCAGCTCTCTTATGTAGTCAATCCTTTAAATTTTATTTTTATTATAGAGGTCCTCTGCTCTGGGGCAGCTTTGCCATGATTGTGCACTTTTTCTGTAGCTGTCCTGCAGCCCATGTGAAGACAGGCCTTGAAACTTGGTTATTTTCATCTTTTCTGTTGGCATGTAGCTTCCATTATTTATGATCACCCCACATTTTCTTTTTTTTTTTCTTGTCCATAGACTCCTGTCTGTCTCTTTCAACCCAGGGGGATATTTCCAAACTCTCTTAAAAAAAAAAAAAATCAAATCAAATTTCATGGTTGTTTTCTCAGTTTAAAATATGTACCAAGTGTTGACAGTTGATGCCTTGGGCAGAAAAGCACGTGCAGAGTTGTACTGGATGACTGCAAGAAAACTGGGAATGAGGAGATGGGATGGACGTGTGGAGATGTGCACATTGACAAGGCAGAAAATGCATGAATGGGTGAAGGCAGGGAGTCCATTTCAGGTGGGCTTTGGGGGGCTTGCAGCTGGTGGAGTTTGTCACCCTGAATTCAGGAGGGTCAGTCAGGGAAAACTGATGATCTGGGAAAGAAGGGAAATTCAGGCTGAATTATGTCAGGGAGCTGGTGAACAGCCTGTGGAAAATCAGGATCAGTGAACACCAGCTCAGCTCTGGCTGCTGCTTTGCTCAGAGAGGGTCTCAGGTTAAATCTAGAGAAAATGCAAAAGTGATTCTCTGCTCTGGGGAATGGTCAGCTCGTGTTGTGTGACATAAGAGGGATTTGTCTGATCATCCATTAGGGTCTGTCCCCTGTCAGTCTTGAACTCAATGTTGTGTTTGTGCTGTTTCAGGACTTTTTTCCTTTTCCACAGGAAAAAATCAGTAGTAATAGCAGTGTCAGTATTATATCCATAGTATATCAGGCTGAACAGTGGGCAGAGATAATTTCAGTGAATCTTAGAAGTTTGTTTCTTATTGCAAGAATAAATTTGTTTTAGTTAATTCATTTGCTTCTTTATTTTTACAATTGAAAACATGAACACAATTTTGTGGCTGCAGTGAAGTGAGCAAGTTTGAATTCATATCTGAACTTAATTTCTGCTTTGGTCGTGCCTCAGCTGCTTTGCTCATCTGCCTGTGAAACACAGTTCACCTTTCAGCTTAGAAGAAGACAAATTATTAATACATCAGCCCTTTAGTTGGGAGGAAGAGAGGTTTATCTGCAACATTTTGATTTGAATTAGTTATTTTTTTCCTTTTCTTGATCTTATGTTTTTTCCCATCCTCTTCCCTCTTTCCACATCACCTGCTTCTCTCTGCACCCAGATGTACCTGCAGTGGAGTCTCTTGGTGGCTTCTTTAACCAGCCAAGGACACTTTCATTTAAAAGGTTGTTACAACCTGAATACACACAAGAATATTTGTTGAAAAGGGTGGGAGTGTTTTATTATGATCTGCCAGCCTTAAAAGGCATTTTGGCTTTTCAGAAAAGAAGAGACAGAAGAAAGCGAAGCCCACGAGCGAGTGGCGCGAGAGGAGGAACGCGATTCGCCTCACCAGCGAGTACACCGTGGAGACCCTGGTGGTGGCAGATGCTGACATGGTGCAGTACCACGGAGCAGAGGCTGCCCAAAGGTTCATCCTCACAGTTATGAATATGGTAAGTAGGCATTTTACTCTCAAAACAGGAAGTGAGAGTAAGCAGGATATCCAGTGTAGCATAAAGCTGACTTGACAGCAGAAATCAAGAACTGTTTTGACCTTCAGGTACAAGAAAAGGAATTTTGGTTTTACTGTATTATGCGCCTCTTCTCCATTTGTGTTATTCTTGGTATTTGCCACAATAAAAAACCCGTTTTTAAAAACTGAAAATGCAAGTTTTCACTTAGGAAGTAGTGGTTCAGGAGTGGTGTTTTCTACCAGACTTTTGGTGCTGCTACAGTTTATCTTGGAGGAAGATAATCCACAGTGGACACATGGTCTTGTCTGACATATTTTTCGGGTTCCTAAAGATTCCTATGGCACATAGGAATCATTCCTATGATTCTCTGTTTCCCAAGAGGTATGGGTCATTGTTATAGGCAGTTAAAACCAGCAGTCATATTGATTTCCAGCAGAACGCCTGGCTTTAAGTCCAAAATTATTTTTTTATCTCTGATTTTTATACTATGAAATTGGCTGCTTCCCTTGATGTAAAGAATGTGGCAAACTTATCACCAAACTGCTGGCTGCTCCCACTCTTTTCACCCCAGGACCTCTAGGGCTGCATAAAGTGGTGCTGATCATACCTATGTGTAGTTGATGGAATTGGGCTTGAAAATCATTCTAGAAATCCCAAGGATATCTTTTGGGAGTGAGGGGAACTTTAGGAAATTACAGGCTCATGGGAAGTGTGGGTGTTAATTTGTGAGCTGTCCCTGCAGTGGGGCCTTCTGTCTCAGCTGATAAGGGAACACAAAGCCTCCCACAGGGAATGCTCACTCAGTTGTTGGCAGGGCCAATAAGGAGGTAATGGCTAAATTGGATGTAGACATGGAAAACTCTGCTTAGAGGCTGCAGGGGTCCTTGTAGAGGCATTTATACAAGAAAGTCTTGGAGGAAGCTCATATTCCTTTGCCCATGCTATTGTAATATCCAAGAACAGCTCATTCTCCTCACTGTGCCTCTGTTGGTGTTTATGAACAGCAAATTGGCTTGGGAAAAAATAACAGTCCTGAACAGTAATTGCCTGGTCATGCTTCCCAGTGATGAAGAGATGGAAGCTCAGCATAAACCAGCTATGGAACAACAACTTTTTAAGAGGTCTTGTGTTCCTTCATCAGGCATTGGTGTGAGGGAGCCCTCCTGGAGGCTGATTGAGTAGGGAGTTTGATTAGTCTTTTCCATTAATGAGCTACTTTTCTGTGCCCCTTCCTCTGCCTTTTATTTTGCCTCCCAGTGTGCTCTGACAGTTGGCACTTGATGGGGCTCCACTGTGTCTCTGCAGTTTTTTTTGATGATCCTCATGCCAATAGGTCAATGATTTCATTGTGGATATTGGGGATCTCTGTGTTGTGCAGCTTTTTCAGCCTGTGAAGATTGTTAGGGATGAACACACTGATGGACCAAGTCTTAAATAAAAGATGGCTGTGGGTCTTTGAATCCTGTTGTCTGCCCAGGCTGAGGTACTGCAGAACATCTCAGCAACATCAGCTTGCCAGGTGTGAATAAATCTGTGTGGGGAGGTGCTCATAGATGGGCTGGGTTCTCTAAACCCATGTATTAAACAAATATTGAAGGTTAGTTTCCAGTGGATTATGCTGATGGGCTTTTAAGCTCGGTTCTGATGCTGTAGTGTGAGCTCACCCCTTTATTAGACACCAGAGAGAGCACATGGAAGAGGACTCTTGGATGAGGAACACATTCATGTGACATCTCCTCAGGTGCAAGGTCCAGCTGAAATGCTTCCCACTGTTAAGTCATTGCTCCTGGGGGCTCACTGGTGTGAGTTTTTTTCTGATGTCTGATAGGATTTAAATTCATGTTTCAGCTTCTCAGCCTTCAGAGAGGCAATGGGAGAGTCTCTCCCTTGGCCACCTACATTCCCACGCTCTTAGGAACATTTTTGATGTCTCTGAATGAGAGACTCTGAAGCAGAGAGTTGTTCTTCTGGAGAGTGACTGGCAAGACCAAAAGATAGTGAGGAAAAATAACAGACAAACACATAGATGGCATCATTGCATAAATCCTTTATTCTGTGGTGATAAAACCAGGTGAAATTCAGGGAAATCAAAGGAGATTTCAATGTTACATTTGTGTAATGAAAGCTGACCTTCATCCCAGGAAAAGAAGCTGAAGGATAATTCAGAAAAAGGTATTTCAGAGTGATAATCATGTGGTTTGGGGAGGCCTTAGTCGAGCTCTTGACTGCTTGGGATCTTTGTTTCTTGCCTCCCTGTCAGCCTTGGGTGACTGCTAGCTGGGGGATAGGATTTGCCCCATGATATTAGGCAGTGCTTATTCAGCTATACTGCAGGATGGCAGGCTGCCTCTAAAAGAAACCAGAATGTTAATTTTGGCTTGGATGCTTGCATTTAAGCAAATAGAACATTACTGGTCAGGGGTATATTAACTTAACTCCTCTCTGTAAGCCATTACGTTTACTGTTAAACCACAAAACAAGCATTAAGAGGTCTTATTAATGCATTTTTATATTTATAGACATTTTAAATAAAGTGATCTGCCTTAAAGTATTTAATATCTATTTATGTTACAAGAATTTCTGAAGGGTAAAAAAGTCAGCATTACAAAATACGAGTTTATTGCTCCCTTGGTAAATGAGAATCTTAGAGAGAAAAACCCCACCACCCTCTTCTAGAATAACAGCTAAAAAGCACAGCAAGCCCATTTTGGAACCCAGAAATAACAGGTAGCACTTCATGTAGCAAATGCTGTGTTTTTAATGTTTTTCTGTGGTTCCATCCCCCTGAACAGAGAATAGATTCACATTAAAAGTACTTGTTTTTTGTGAATGTCACTGTAGAGGTGCAGGTTTGTCCATTTACTAAACTAATACTTGAAATTATAATACACATTTTTCCAAGATTGTGAAAGAATTTCCCTCTAAGGTGCTCTGTAATGTATGAGTAGGAACAAGTATGGCTCCAGGGATTTGAGCTGGCTTTTTTAAAGTCACCACTGCTAAAAAGAAATCTTTTCTTGTTTTCTGGCAAGGTGATTGATTCAGCATGATTTTCCAAACAGGTGATAAAGTTGTTGCCAAATGCCACCATGTACAGCTGCAGCCTTAGCAAGGCAGTGGGACTGGGTATGAGGAATGGAAGAACATGGGCAGGGAGAAATACCAGCAGAGCTATGGAATTGCAAAACCATCTACTTAAATATAGGTGCTGATCTCTAAATTAAACTCCCTTGTTACTGAGCTTTGTTGAAGTGTTTGCATTCCAGTTCTTGTCTCACCTTTGGCTTGAGAGCATCTCCTGTTCATGTTTAGAACTTCCTCTGAATTCCAAACCCAAGGGCCTTGTGGTGAATCAAGCTTAAAAACATACTTATTTTGCTCACCTATTCTGTTAGTCTGCGTCTGGCAACTGATTTCTCAGTTCATTTCATCCATGTGGAGCCCTTAGGATGGATGTTCTGTTCTTGCAGAAGTTTTATGCTTTTGTTTTCTCATGTGGTTGCTTTTCATCTGAAAGAAGTGACCAGTAAAGGAAAAAAGAGATTCTAGGAACTGCACTGGTCTCTGCTGTGTCTGGTTTTCATGGTTGAGGTTTTCAGCTTTCTGAAGAGAATTGATTCAAATGGTTCTGGAGATAACTGGTTCAAATGGTGACAAATGAGGATGAGACCTTTTGGAAAGTCCTGTCCGTGGTTATTGTGTTGCTGAGGATGAGGAGTGACTGTTTGCAGCCAGGCCCTGTACAGTGAGTTGTGGATGTTGGCTCCTTGCAGAGTGCAGAGCTGACTTTGCAAACCAAGTCCCACCCAGACTGACCCTCTGAGCATTTAGAGACAGAGACGTCTGAATTTCTGAATTTCCAAGACCACAACATAGTCATTTAACAGCTGCTTTCTATGGGTTTGAAAACCTAAAAAAAAACCGAGTTGGGTTGGGTTTTTGTTTTTTTTTTGTCCCCTAAGTATATTTTTTTGGGTTTTGCAATAAATTACAACCATGGCTTGGTTTGGAGCTTGCCTTTTTCTGTGAGAGTGCAGCGTGGAGGGAGAGTTTGTGCCGTGTGTGTCAGTTCTGCTGCAGCTGTTGCTAAGCCATGCGATTACTGTGGAAGCCCTTTGCAGCAGCAAGCAGGAACTTGAAGTTAGTGATCTTTTGGATGTCATTAAGAGGGAAAATTCTTATGTTGTTCTTTAGGAATGATACTGTTTTACTCTCTGAAACCTGATTTTACGCTCCACAGATTGTTTTTCATTTTGGATTTCCCCTGTGAGGGTTTTTTTTTATGTTAAAAAAGCAGATAAAATCATTTTTATCATGCTTGCATTGATGGATTTATATGTCTGTGCTCTTGGGGGCTGGCACATAAAGGCTCCAGAGCTGCCACTGATAATCAGCTCCCTTACCCGGGTCTGGAAGTTTCATGATGGGAACAGGGACATAAGGGAAAAGGATCTGAGTGTTTCATCACTGTCTACAGATTTCTCTTTTCGCTCCAGCAGCCCCAGGAGAAGGAGTTATGTCAACTGTATCTTATAAAGAGCTATGAATATGTTCTTTTTCATAATGTTAAAAGGAGTAATTTGAAAGCTTGGCTTTAGGTGGGTGTTAGAAATCCTATAGCACTTTTCAAAACAAGAGAAAGACAACCTCAGTAACCTGACTAAGGCTTCTGCTGTCCAAACCTCATCCAGCAGCCAAGGCAATGGGAAGGCTCCTGCTTGAGTGCAGTGCTTAGGGAAGAAAAAAGGGGGAAAGAAAAAGTCAATTTACCCTCAGGGTTGCTGTTCTGAACTCCAAAACATCTGAAACACACACATCTCCCTCCCACCGTCCACCTGCAGAGGAAGCTCTTGAGAATTAAAAAAAAATTAAAATGATGTAGTTTAGTTCCTCTCTCAGCCCAATTCCTTATGTCTGTGTTTGCTTTGTGCGTGCTGGGGCAGGCCTGCTCAGCTTATGCCAAAACTGCATTTCTTCTGCCCCTTCCATGTCAGGGCTGTGAGGAGAAAGAAAGGCAGCAGGAATGCAAACAGAGGAGGATGGTCCAGCCTTCAAGCTTTCCTGTTTTCTTTAGGGCATTAGTAAAGCTCTGTTAGAGAAATGCAGATGAAGGGGGAGATGCCAGAGACAGGCTTTATTCTTCTTGTTGTTCTACTGCACTTCTCCTTCCATTTTTTCTCTCTGTTTTGTATGATTCTTTACCATATCTCCTGTTTCCAGAGCTCACTCTACTTTTGATGACTCCTCACAGAGAAGTCAGTACAGAAGTGTAGAAGTTCACCTGCAGCAGGGCACCCACAACACTTCAGCCACATTGACCACTTTTCCCATCTCTTCCTTTTATCCCAATAATCCAGAACCTCCATTTCTTTTCCATCCAAGCTGCTTTCTTCTGCTTGTGGTGATATCCTAAACAAGTAACCTTTGCTTTTGGTTCCATGGCAAAGTTTCATGCAGCTGACACTTCTGTTCCCAGCTGCCTTATTTCATTAAAAGGTTCTAAACCACCCAAATATTTTTGCTTTTCCTCTGTTGGAAGTAGTCACAGCAGCCTGAAGGGTGTGATGCAATTGCAGGCTTGAGGAAGGGTGGCCCATGGTGTTGGGAGTGGGCAGGGAGGTGTCTGTGAGTCAGTCTCTGTCCGTGCAGCAGGAAATCTTGAGAACATCTGCAGTGGGAAATCCCATTCCTCATCCCCTGGTACCAGTTATCCCAGCCACCTCACTTGGCACGTGCTGCTGGTGGACACTTGGATGTGCTGTTGAACAGCTTGGACACACTGAGCCTCTGGGGTTTGGTTTTCTTGTTGGCTGGGTGAGAAAGGCAGAAGGTTGTTGCTGCCATGATGGAATTCCATTCTTAGCAGGAAAGACCTATGTGTTTGAATTCTTTTATTTTAAATTCAGCTGGATTCTGTGCTGATCCTTCCTTTGGGTATAGCCTGGCACAGCCTGGTTTAACTCCAGCTAGGAGCAACCTGAGCTGTGCCAGGTTCATATTTTTTTTATCAAGTCATTTAAAAGTCTGTTTGCCTTGACCATGGGATTGCCTCTACCCTTAAAGCCCATGATCTGAGAGAAGTTTCCCTGTGAAAGGACAGTGTGTGGGTGCAGCTGGCAGTGGGGCCGAGACCCAGAGCTGTCCTGTGCCAGACATGGTCCCATCCCTCCAAAGCCTGTCAGGAGAGCTGGGGGTGCCTCTATGAAAGCATCTTCAAAAGAGGGGAAAAAAGCTGAATAGTGGAAAAAAGTGGGGGAAAAAATCCATATGAGTACCCAGGTCAGAGCAGGAGGATGAGGAGCTGCAGGTGCTGGAGCAGAGGTTGCCCTCCAGCCTGTGGGGAGACCATGGTGGGGCAGGTGGCTGTTCCCAGCACTGTGACCTGGGGAGAGGAGCCTGTGCTGGAGCAGGTTCTCCTGATGGGAACTGCAGCCCATGGAGAGGATCCATACTGCAACAAGATGAAAGTGGGAGAGAGGAGCAGAGAGAGCTGCTCCAGGCTGAGGACAGTCCCCATTCCCCATCCACCTGCATGGCTCTGGGTGAGGAGGAAGGAGTCAGGAATGCAGGAGTAAAGATGAGGTGAGGGGAAGGTGTTGTTTTAATAGATCTGTTTTTCTCTATATACAAGTGATTTTAATTGGCAAATTAAATTTTCTCTAAGTCAAGTGTGTGTTGCCTGTAACAGGTGATCTCCCTCAGAGGGAAAGGTTAATGTTCCTTCTAGGCAACACAAACTGTCATCAGTCTGGGGCTCCTTTGGGCTTCATTTAAGAAAATAAGCAAACAAAACTTGAGTAAACAAGCAAAGTTGAGGCTCTTGCACTCTCAGTGACTTTTTTTTTGTTTAGTACCCAATTGCTGCTGCTTGAGCTCTTCTGAGATCGCTCATGGATGAGAATAAAAATGCAGTCACAGTTATCCTTAGGACAGAGAGCACAAGAGAAGAGGAGGAAGGGCTGGCAGCTTTCAGGTTGACATCCTGAACTCTCCAGCAGCTGGTGACAATGGGGAAGTTTTGCCAGGGAAAACAGCCTTTGGAAGTTGGTGGTGTTTGGATATGTCTGTGCTGAGTCTAAGGCAGCTTGACTGCTCTGATGGGAAGCCAAGCACCAGCACCCAGCAGGCTCAGTGATGAGGACCTGTTTGCTGGATTTGTTCTCATTTCATAAGTGGGAACTTCATGGGATGGCCAGAGCTAGTGCAGAGCTGGGAAACCAAAGACATCCATCCATCCATCCATCCATCCATCCATCCATCCATCCATCCATCCATCCATCCAATCATCCATCCATCCATCCATCCATCCATCCATCCCAGGGAAATGTTTGTCAGCCTCTGTAGTGGTGCAGCAGGGGTTGAGCCCCTCAGCCTGGTGCCCCATTGACCCTCCCAGCTGAATGTCCAGGTCTCCACTTACACAGGGGTCATCTGTCAGAGCCCTTCTCTGCAAATGTCAAGTTTATCTCCCCCAGGTCTGTAGTGAGAAGCCTGAACTGCTCTACCAACACATCCCCAGGCTAAGCAAATAGTGCCAGCCCTTGTGTGCACTTGTACAGCAGCCCCAGGGAAGAGAAATGGCTCATTGTGCTCAGCTGAAGGTCACTGGGTCAAACACTGAGTAGCTCAGTCTTGAAATCTGTGCCTAAATTGTAGGAAACATTTACGTGTGTGCTTAAATCCAACCCCAAACACTGGAGAGCTTCAGAGTGCTCTTCCACTGAGCACATTCCTGAGTCTTTGCACAAACAGGAAAAATACCAAGCGTTGAAAACCTTATGTGCAAGGTGTGCTTGTGTCTCAGGTTTGCTGTGGGAAGTGAGAAGATGCTTGTAGGGTGCTGGGTGATGCTTGTAGCCAAACGAGCTGTGAGGAAGGAATATTGCTTACCTGGGGCCAAACCTGCTTCCCATTTATCAGGAGTCTCTCTTCACTGGTCTTGATTTTGTTGGTTTTTTTACTAAATAGGGGATACAATATTCACCCAAGGCCTTTTACATGGCATTTTACACCTTTTTAAAATAAACCCTCACCTTTTTTGATACTGCCTAGTTAAAACATTTGTACACAGAGAAATGGGTGGAATAAAATTCTGGGATCAATTAAGATCTTATATTCTAACCTATAAAAATGAGGTGAAGTATCTGAGCTGGAATGCAAAATCTGGAGAAAGTAGTAAGGTAGTTTCCGGTGCTATTTTTGTATTTCCTGAGGCTTGTGTCATTATGTGCTGCCTTATTACTATTCTCTTATATAAGATATGAAAATAACAGAGGGAAATTGCTTTTCCATTCTATTTCCTGAAGTCTAAAACACACCATTATTTCATCTTGCATTCAGATATCTCTGATATTTAAATGCTGAAGATCCATGTTAGTTGGATGCTTCATAATGTATATCCATGTTCCTGAGACTTTATCTTTAGAGTTCCTTTGGAATACTTTTCTCCTTTTCACAGTAACTCTTAAAAATTCTTTATTTTATTAAGTGTAGTAGCACAATCCATTTGGGGGAGTTTTTGCTGTCAATTTTTAAAAGGAAAAATGTCTAACTTTAGTCACAATTAGTTTATTCAACTATTACTAGGTTTTGGTACTTCTGCTAATAAGCTCTGGATGTTTTCTTTGCTTTTTGACAGGTGTACAACATGTTCCAGCATCAAAGCCTGGGCATTAAAGTCAACATTCGAGTGACCAAACTAGTCCTGCTTCACAATCGCCCTGTAAGTTCCAGCCCCTTTCTCCCCTGCTCCTGGGAACTGCTTTGTGGTGTCCCACAGGGTGGGAGGGGATGTGGGGCTTGTGTGGCCTCAGGATCACAAACTGTGAGGAGTTACCTGTTCCACTTCACCAGGCAGTGTTAAAGGTGGGAAGTACAGGGGCTTTGGGAGTGAAAGGAACCAGAATCCTTTTCTTTATCCTTCCTGGTAAAGCTGTCTGGGGTTAACTGTTACAGAGAGGTCTGATGCTTTATCTACAGACTGATATTTCTCCTTTTGTATATATATATATATATTTTTTCCCCCAAAGGCAAAGTTGTCCATTGGGCATCATGGAGAGAGATCTCTGGAGAGCTTCTGTCAGTGGCAAAATGAAGAATATGGTGGGGCAAAATACCTTGGTAACAACCAGGTTCCTGGTGCCAGGGATGACACCCCTCCTGTGGATGCTGCTGTTTTTGTCACCAGGTATGTATGGGAAGGTCTGGTTTATCAATTTACTTCAACCAGTAATGTCCATGGTCAGTGGTGGGGTTATCTGGTCAAGCAGAAATCTAAGAAAAAGATGATACATTTGCTGCTCAGATACCTCAGATGAAAGTGATCTTGTCTTGTATTATTTTTGTGCATTCTTAACAAGGTTGTACAAAAGCATCTCTCCTCTTGAGCCAAAGTGTCACAGTCGTGGTCACTGTTCTGTGTCACTGTCAGCATCAGGATGTGGCTCTAGCACAGGGGTTGCTTTTTTCTCACACCAGCTGGTAGGAGTGGGAAAAATAGGGGAGGTTTGGGAGCCCTCTTTCCTAGGAGAAAGAAGGTTTGGAACTGAGAACACAGCTGAGCTCAGGTGCTCTGTGTGCAATTAGAGATGAATCAGCTGAGCAGTCTGAGAGGAGCAGACAGTGTGTCATGGGGAGGGAGTTATCTCCTAATGAAAGAGGGAGAGAAATACCATAAACTAAATTAATTTTCTCTCTCTTTGCCTGAGGAAATAACCACTTTAACAATTCCCCTCTGTCACAACTGAGACAGAGAAGGGGTGTCATTCTTGATTGGTTTGTGTATTTGAAAACTCCTGCATTTATTTCAGATGTGAAATGATCTTTGTAGAAATATTTGATGAAAATTCTTTGCACCCTGGAGTTCTGAACTTACTGATGTGTCAAACACGCCAGATAAAGCAAGAAGGGTGTTTTAGGGACAAAAGTCTTTTTTCCTCTAACTACCTGAGCTCAACCTCACAACACAATGCAAGTCCCATGCTCCCCACTGTTACCACAAATTTTGAGTAGCAAATTCATGGTGTTTTGTGTTTTTTTGCATCCTTTAAGATGTAAAAGAAGCATTCATTTTTACAGAAGCGATCTCTGAATAATTAAAGTGAGCACAAAATTATGGTGTAATGTGGGTGCTCATTGTCCTAGAAAAACACTACTTCCTACTCCCTTCTTTTTGAGACAGGAAATATCTGTATTGCAGTTCAATATTACTCACCTCTTTCACTTATTTTCTCTGCCAACAATATAAGTAGAAATACATATTTTTGCATAAACTGCCATCCTGATTGTAATAATCTCTTGTGTTAGATTTGTGTTAACAGCCCCACTGCAAACTATCCATGGGATTCTGGTGAGTGTTCAGGGAAAGAGCTGGTGAGCAGGGCATGAGGCCAGCAAAGTTCCTGAGAAATGTCCTCCACAGACGTGTGTGCAGCTCTCCCAAGCCCTGCTCCCTCCTCTGTATTCACTGCAGTCCACCAGGCACTTGTGCAGATACTTAACAGTTTAGACAGGGGGAATAGTTCCTTTGAAGTCACATCCTGGTTATAGTTAAGCATGTGCTCCATTGGATCAGGGCCTAAATAAATAACTAACATTTTTGTGAAACTCATCTGGGTATCCAGTTGTCCTGCATGGCAAGTGAGGCAGAGAGAATCTCTTCTGATGGGCTCTGAGCACGGGGTGGGGGGAATGAGCAGAGCATTTCATCTCTGCAGTTCTCAAAACTGAATGCATAATGTCAGGCTAAATGAGTTGGAGTCAGGCTTCTGAAGAAGAACTGTAGAAAGAATTTGTAGGAGGAATTGTTCAATGGATTCACAGGGTTTTGCAGTGGGAATAGCTGGGAAAGGACAGGTTTGGTTGGGTTAGAAACCAGATTCAGCTTTGGTGAGAAGGTTCTGGGCAAGGAGCACATGGCTGTGCACAGGAGCAGCATTTTTGCTGCTGGAGAGGCCAGCAGTGGTACTTGGGAGTCCTTCCTTCCTTCTTGCTATGTCCTGTCATCCTTAACCCATCCTGCTTCTGCCACATGGAGGATGCTGCATTGTTTGAAAGACTTCTGAGCCAGCAGCCCCATTCCTGTGTCAGGGAAATGAATTTTTCTCCTCTTGGCTTTGGGAATGTGTGTGTGTGTGTCCCTGGACCCTCCCCAGACTGTACAGATGGACCAGTGGTAGAGGATGTGGGAGCAACAGCATGTCCAGCACAAGCAATTGCGCCAGAAAAAGCAGAAGCTGAATTTTCAGCAGCTGCAGCTGCTTTAAGGACTAGAAACAGATTCTTTGGGGTCAAGCTCTGAAGAAATCCCTCTGGTTCCAATCTGGCTGGGTTCATTTGAAACACCAAGGCACGCTTGCCTTTTGAAACTTCACCTCTAAATGATGTTTCCCATGCCCTTATTTGTATGCAAAAGTAGATTGCTTAGGTGGCAAATATCCCTCTTGTGAGATTTTAATGGTATCCACCTGAGTTCCAGGTAAGAAAGAAGCTGTGCCTGTGAAATAAGATGCATTGTCCAGATCAGTAAATAAGGGAGATAGTGGCAATAATCTGCCCTGAAGGTCTGAATATAGTGTTGTGGTCTCTGTATCATCAGATTTTTCTCATTCAGATTCTGGTTTTGAACTTGCAGAAATTCAGGTCTCTGGCATCTTTGGGGAGTGTACTTCATATTTTAACAGGCAGCTGACCAGAATAACTTCTGTCTGCAGAATCTGTATCTTAGTGATTTTAGAAGCATGTCTTATTTGAAACACATTCTCTCTCTTGATCCCTCTGTCTTTTGCATTCCCTGGGAAATCTTTCAGGCACACTGATGTTATCCCAGCTCCTGGCTGGAGGTGTTTGACCCAAACTGTTGGACTATAGGTGATGTGATAGCAGAGCAAAGAATGTCCCAACACTGAAGGAACAGGAGTCACAGCTGTCTTGAAGCAAAGACTTGTTTTTTCCTGACACAGTGGTGTAGTTGTTCCATTTGCAGCCTGATCCTCCCTTCCACATTTCTCCAGCTCTTTGCCTTCCCATTAAATGGGCAAATGGAGGAATTCACTGTGCATGGAGGAAACTGGGCACATAGTACTGCTGAATGTACCTATGGATATGGAAAGTTTATTTTGGCAGGTTTTGGACTGTACCAGTTTCCTCTGTCCTTTAGCTTTATGACCCTGCAGGGTTAGACTGGTCAAAAGATGTCATTTGAAGGATGCTGGGAATGGCCACTTAACAGAATGCTTCTTATTCCTGTTGCACAGTTCAGCTACTGTCCTTCTTTTTCACAGGAAGGACTTGAATTGCAGAGTTTAGCTTAGCACAGTTAGGTATTTTTTTCCAGTTGGTGGGAGCCAGATGGAAGAGTGACTGTAGGAGCAGTTCTGAGCTCGTCTGGCTGTTTTTATTGAGCAAAACAACCGATTTGTCATTTTTTTGAGAATTGTTGTACTCTGCTAATGGAAACCTCTGCTGGGTGCCACACATGATAATGACTGAGAATTTCACAGGTCACAGGGTGAGAACTTGTGTCCTGCTTGATTCAGTCAATGGCTAAAAGTGAAGAGTAAAACTGGTTCACAGCTAGAGCTGTGATTTCAATGTATTATCCAAGACTTTATCCAAGACTTTGTGTGGTAAGTTCAGATGTTGGATTTGAACTGCAGCTCCTGGAGTAAAAGTTTTATTTCAATACAGCTCTGTAAAAAATTCTGCTAACAGAACTGTGTCTCTGTGATAAGAGACCTTTGCACATGCTGTAAATATTAAAATGTCTTTCCTGCATTGTTGAGTATCATTATAGTATCAGTCATGTCAAACTCTCTCTTCAAAATTACCCGTGCAGCTGAGCTCAAAAATGTGCCAGAGAGACACCTGTGATTGAAACCTTTTTAAAAGCAGATCAATGTCAGGTGCCAGGATGGGGCCATTTAAATCACTGGTGTGACTAAGGCACAAGTGAGACAGATCATTCTTACATTTTTAACACCTTTCCATGCTGAGTTTTCCCTCTGACTGCCAGGGAAGGAATGTAGGAGTTTCAGCAGTGGGCTTTGTGATGAGGTGTGTCCTTGCCTTTGGAAGAAGGCTGAAACACACCGACCTGGTTTGTGACTAAAAGTCTGGTTGTGCTTTTCTGTTCAGGCACAGAGTTTTGGGATAAAATATTTGCAATGGTCTAGATGGTTTAAATCCTGTGGTTTTTTTAGGTATATTTGAATAGAAGATGGAATCTCTTGGTCTTGTGTTTGTGACAGTTTTAAGGATGGGCTGAGCAGGTTTTATACTTGAATTGCCAGTGATGTTCGGTTCGGCTGCTGATGTTCTTCAAGACCTTCCCTCATCAAACAGCATCACAGCACTCACACACAAGGGTTGTTCTACCTCTGTAGGAGAGTCTGCAAGTTGTGCTGGATCATTTACAGACCCTAATTTAATAACATGGTGGTAATTCCTCTGTGGAGCTGCCAGAAAGTGCCAGACACCTTTTGGTGTGGGACAGCGTGAGGAGCAGAAATTCTGTGCATTATTTACAGGGCTGGAGAGGCTCTGGAGAGAGAGGCAGAGAGGCTTTTCTAGCTGTGGCCTCCTGCCATCCACTAATAGTTCAGCTATCTGTTGTCACAAGAAAAGCATCTGTTTGATTTAGCAGTTTATATAACATAATAAGTCCTTAAATAAACCTCTGTCAAGTTGGCTCTGGGAAGTCGAGCAGGCGTGCTGGTGCCAGCTCTGTCAGGAGACTGTCATCAGTCTTCCTTGGGAAGGCTGGAATGCCAAGGTGTCCAGACACAGGCTGCAGTGAAAAATGGAAGCTGGGGCTGCTGTGTGGTCGTAGCTTCCGATTTTTGTTTGGTTCCTGTCTGATTTTTTTAACACTTTGATGGTTATTATGGTTTTTCTGCACTGAAGCGTGGTTGGTTTTCAATGTGTGCTGAACAAGAGCTGGTAATGGCTGTTTGTGCTCTCCTTCCAAGCCCTTGACAGCTTGATTTGTGGCTTTCAAAGGAGTTTGGTGTGGAGGGTCTAGAATCATCAGCCACAGTCCTGGGCCTTGAATCTCTTTTCCTATAAACCCTCATTTCATAACTTTCTTAAAGGAAAAAACACTTTTAATATTTACCTGTTTTTATATTTCTCTTAAGTATTTATCTTTCTCTAAGTATTTTTGATCTTCCTCCTCCCAAACTCTTAAACTCCAAATCCCAAGGGGACTCAGGCATTTCTAATGGCACATTCCAAATGTACTAAGAGGATTCTCTTGCCTCCTCCCAGGGTGAGGAAAGCCATGGTGATAGAGACTACAGTTCCTCAGCTTCCCTTGGGTTAAGGAACTTCTGAAATGTTTTAGCACATGTGCTGTTTCTCTGCAGCACCTCTTCATTGTGGATTGCACTGCAAAGCAGCCCTAGTGAAGACAGCTCCTAAAAGTTTAGGTCTAAGTGCTTCTTGAAATGTATTCCAGCTATTAATTTATTTATAAAACACTTTTCTCCCCACACACTTGTTTTTCTGTCATGAAGAATCTCATGTACAAAATCTTCTCACATGAAGTGTCAGTGCTTTGATGGTAAGCTTCAAGGCTTTTATTCTGTTTCTGTTTAATACAGATCCATGGATCCCTCGTTGATTTGTGGGTGCCACTGGCATCTGTAGTATCTTCTCCTGCCTTGATGAGATGTGGGGAACCAAATGGAGTCTCTTGTACCTCTCTGTGTTGGATTCAAAACCTAACATGGCAAATCTAACTGGAATAAGTTTGGCTGAAGCAAATTTACCCATTACCAGGAAAATCCTGAAATTCTCTTTCTTCTTCCATTTCAACATGTCTTTCTCTGTTTAGTCCTGCTTCTTTCATGTTCTTTTCTATTCTAGTGAAGAATTTCTGGGTACATATTATTAGTTCTGTGCCTTCGGGCTGTGCCCTACATATCTCCTCCTCCCACTGTCTTTTAGGGTGCATCTCAGGGTCTCTGCTCCTTTTTGTTACAATTCTCTTGTGGAAGAAGCTTCAGTTTTAATCCAGTTGTGGACTAAGTGTGACATCACAGGCTGAGGCAGGGCTCTTTTATGTGCTGGATCTTAATTCTGTTAAATTGGACTGTGGTATATGGGGCTGATTAACATAATTGCCTGTAATCTCAGTAGCAATCAGGGCTGCTATCTGTGTTGTCATCGTGTAGACTGCACAGCAGCCTTTCAAAATCCCCAGACCTCAACACCCATGATATGTGAGTCATGCACCACTGCTTCTTCCCAGTCTGGAGGCACAGGATACATTTCACTTCTGTTCTGTTTTTCTTTCTAGGACAGATTTCTGCGTGCACAAAGACGAGCCTTGTGACACTGTGGGTAAGTCCAAGAAGCAGGGGAGGGTATTTTGATAGCCACCTCTGTGCTAAGAGGAGTGTCTGGGCAATCTTTCACTCTTTGGTTTGCTGTAATGTTGGTTTTGCTGTTCTGGGTATATCTCTGTGATGCAAATATGGATTAGCTGAGCAGGGTATGAGCTATAAATAAGCCATTAAATTTTAACCCCTTCTAAGCCCTGGAGCTCTGTGGGTTCAGGAATTATTCTGAAGTATTTCTGCTTCTTTGGAGTGGATGCAGAAGAAACTGCTTCTTGATGTGTCTGTATAATGTTCCTTTCAGTTCTCTCTCACCTCAAACAAGAATTTGCTAACTAAGGATGTATTTCCCATTGTAAGAAGCTGTGTGACATTCCCAGATCAAGCTGGCACTCAGACACTGGAGAAGAATACCTCATTGTAGGACAGCCAAGTTAAATCTTCTTTTCAGCCTCCTGCTCCTCCTACTTCCTAACTGCCTTTACTTGTATCCAAAGCCTGCATACACAGGGTCCTTATATCCTCCACATTAAATACTTTGTTTATTTATTTCACTCAGGTAGCAGTAACCTTCACCATGTTCTCCTGGTTTTGTTTTTTTTTCTTTTTTTAATCCCCAGTGTTTGGAGGCACAGCTCAACATCTTCTCTGTGATGATGGCATGAATTTTTTTAGGCTTGCCTCAAAGTCAAGTGGCCCCTTATCCTCCATTCTGTGTAAACTTGGGTTGGATCCTAATTTTCAGCTGTGTTTACACTCCAGTGTTCAGGAAGACACTTGCAGGGGTTATGGACAGTGGGTGATGCAGAGCAGGGAGGGAAGTGCCCTCAGCAGGAGCCCTGTGGAAGGCTCATCTTGGAATGCAGCTCCTTCTCTCCCTGGTGTGGGGATCAGGTGAAAGGAGGAAATACAGAGCTGGAGGATACACACATGAGCAAGGACTGTGTCCAAGCTTTTTCCATTTGGAATCCCTCACAATGTGTTTATTCTGTGTCCAATGGAAAACACACTTCCACTCAGGAAGGTTTTTACACCGTGTGCCTGCACCTGGAGGTGGCTGTGGTAAGATACAATAAAGAAGTTAAAAAAAAAAAAAAAAAAGAGAAGCTGATGGAAGACACATGCTGACTAAAGTCAGAGCTCTTTCCATGCTTAAAGAGAGTATTGTTGAAGGTCTCTATTCAGGGAATTATATTACCAGAGACAGCATGACTAAGGAAATATTTTTATGACTTCTTTTCTGTTCTTACAATACCCAAGTTATTTCTTGTGCTGCAACTTGCTGCAGGCTGTGGCTACAGTGGAGAAAGTAGAAGATCACAGCAAGGGAGATTAAACTCACTTCTTACTCTTTCCAGCATAGTTTTCCAAGATATTTAGAAGGTGAATATTCCTGGGACAAAACCAGTCTGGCCTCTTTGCTCTGTTCAAATCCTGCTTTTCCTACCTTTTCCCCTGACAATATGATTATGTGGCAGCAAAGCACTTATATCTTCACTTAAGCATTTTCTGTGCCCCATTTGGCCTTGTTGTGCCATTTGCATTTTTTCATGGCAGTTGAATAAATTAATGAATGAGGAAGAATAAATTAATGAATGTTCTTTCGTGACATGCAGCTGGTTTGAGAAAGTGATTAATGCTGGTAGAACTAAATTTTAACCCTGCAAAAGATTCTCTGGTTTTCCTCCTTTGTCAGGATTGGGAAAAGCAGGTGTCAGTTGTAGATAAATAGGTTTTTGATACCCAGACTTCCATGCCATGTGCACATAGCTGGGTGATACAAGCAGCAGTGTAACATGGCTTTGACTTGGGTTTCATATGAGTGCAACAGTTGAGACAGGCAGGTGCCCGTTGATCTTCCATACTGGCTTAGGAAGGTTTATCTGGGTGTTTCAACCATCTCTGCTGTTGCCAGGTTCCTGTTTCTCACCCCAGCTCCCAGATATTCCTCTCCACATCAGCAGGACTGTCTGTGGAATCAAGGAGCCCAGCGAGTGACATTGCGTTTGGTCTTAATAGTTATGCTGAGGTTGTTGCACTCCCCAAAGTTCTCTACATCAGCAGCTTGCTTTCATTTCTTGCTTTACACTTGAAGAGATGAAGGACATGGTCTCAGCAGATGCTTGTGTGTTTTTACACCTGCTTATGGCTGAGGTTGGCCCTTGCAATGCCAATGCTGCCATGCTGTAAATGCAGCGAGCAGCCGCTCCTAAACCAGGAGACTGAGGCTGCTGCTCTATATAAGGCAGAGAATCTGGACTCTTAGACTCCTGATTTCTATTCCCAGCTCTGGCACTGACTCATTGTGTGACATTTGGCAAGTCACTTGCATTCTGAATGCTTCTGTCTACCTCTGTGAAATGAGGATTTTGAGTGCAAAGCTGCAGGAGATTGCATGGCTTAGGGAGGTCTCCTGTAAAGAGTGTGGGGTTCTTGGGGGTGAGATGCAGTACAACTCCAGAATCTAATGTTGCTTATTCATGTTCAAGAGACTCTAAGGAATCTGTTGGATTATATCCTGAAATAAGAGGACTCAGAGTGCTGCAGGTAATGTTATTTTCAGTGGCAGTGCCTTGATTTTCTTTACATTGTGAGAAACAAGGAAGCAAAACTTAACCGTGGCGGAAGCCCTGAGGCCCAGCTGTTGTTGGGAAGTGGGATTATGAAGTTTAAATGGCTCATAAGAGGTGTTCATTTGTGCTCTGAAAGATCCATCTTGAAAAACCTGTCTGGAATCTTTGCCTGCCATACAGACACAGCGAGAAAACAGCAGCAGGAGGTTTGTATTTGTATTCTGGCAGGGGCCCCTCACTGAAACCAGTTGCTCTGGGGACTTGGTTCAAATTTTCTTGGCCCAGCTGCCAGGATAGTGTGGAGGGTTACATAATGGCAGAAATAAGCTCAAAAATGAGGAAAATGTGTAGGTATGTCTTGGTGGGGTGATTCCCCACTGTCCTCACCAGGGAACAGAACCATGTTTGTGTAAGGAATAGTTTGTTAATGCTCATAGCCCCACTTGGTTGGGGAAGTTAGGTCTGGGAATGGATGGATTCCATAGGAGGTGGACAGAAGGAAAACAATATTCCTGTGTGGAACAATCGTGTTCCAACAGCCTCTGCTGTGGGATACACTCCTCAGTTTGAGCAGGAAGGTTCTCTTTGTGTGACACAGCCTCCTCACACACCAGTCAGAATTCCCGAGTCTGCTTCAGGCTCATCCCTCGTTCTGTGACTCCAACCAGAGCTGCCGTTTCCTGCAGAAAAATCTGTGTTCCAACAGAGCTGCCTCCCAGCCAGCCAAATTGCGAGTTTAATGTCTTGCTATTAATATCAGGCTGCAGCTTGGAGCCTTGCACACTGTCAGAATCCAACCTTTCTGTGACATAAGCAGATTGAGAATGCCCCTTTCGTTCAATATTTCCACTGCCAGTGCCAAATAAGCAGCTTTACGGTTAGTTAGGAATGATCCTGCATATTTCAAGGCAAAGCTTGGCCTTCATTCCTCAGTGTACATGTTACCCCAGATCCAAGCTGAAGCTTCCCTGTATTCAGCTAATAATAAAATTGGGGGCAGTGTGGAATTGGGAAATGGAAAATGAGACTGTGTCTTAAATATCCTTAAATTGCCCTGGTTAAAAATGACTTTACCTCTGCTGCAGTCACATGTGCTCCTCTGTGGCTTGATGTCAGGGAAAAGAAAGCAGAGTAAGTGTGTGTACTGCAGAGGGGCAGGCTGAGCTGAAGGAATAGCTGCCTGGAGAAAACCAAGCACAGAGTGGAGGTGATTGAGGAACACAGTTTTCCAGACTCTTTCCACAAGTGAATCAGTGTTTGGAGAAAAACATTCCCATCTCCTGGCTGTTTATCGCAGTAAAGTGTTTCAAAATATGCCCACGTTTGGCAAAAGAAGATCTGTGGTCTGTGTCTCCAAGTAGGCGTTCTTGTTCCATGTAAAACACCTGGATAAGGGACTGCACATTTTTACCTTTTCCTTGGCCATTTGCCACTTCTGGCTGACACAGCAGGAGACAATTCTGGTCATCCTGCCTGTACCATTCATTTAAATCTTCCTCCCTGTGCCATATTGATTCCAGTGCCCTGTCAGTGTCACAACAGAGAATTCATCCCCAAGGAAAGGGAAAAGACTAGCTAGTTTGCTCTGAGTGGAAAAGGAATTCTCACATTAAAAACATTTTCCATAGTGGTTCATGTTGAATGTTTCTGTATATTCCAGGGCGGGTTTTTATTTGATGCCAGAATAAATAGAAATACCTGCTGCTTAAAACAATTCATTAGAGCAGCAGTGCCTGGCTTTAGCAAAAGCCTGTCCTTCAGACCAAACCCAAACACAGCTTAATACATTAAAATGAACATACTGGAGGTTAAAATGTCTCTTAAAGAAACGCTGTCGAGTTGATTTGGTGTTTGGGAAAGAAAGGGACCTCACAGCACTGCAAATTTCTGTCACTTGTGCCTCTGCAGGGCAGTGGAGTCAGGCTGTTGGCTTTAGGAAGCCATAGGGAGCTGTGCTCCAGTGCAGTGGGAGAGTTTTTCCCTTGCCTTTTGGTTGCTAGGGAGTAAATGCTGGGCTGCACAACCCAGGCAGTGCTGAACTGTGCTATTGGGCATACTCATCACTGCCCCACCCTAGCCACCACAGCCTCCCAGTTCCTTTTCACCAGCTAGCAATCCCTCCTCTTCCAAATTCCCACTAAACATTCATGTGCCAAGCAAGTGCAATATGAGATTGCATCAATCTCAGTAGAGCCCTGGGATAAGCACTCAGGTAATTGGGAATTCCTGCTGCTGTAACCCTTGCTCTGCCTCACTCAGTGTCCTGTCTGTGCTTTTCCTTTTCTTGTTTTGGCTTCAGCCAGACTTCCTCACTGTGCACTAAAGACCAGAGGGAAATCCTGCTTACATCAGACTGAGAATCTTGGTGGTGCCTTCACTGGGGTCAGGATCCTGGTCCTGTTCTTAGATGTTACCTGAGACATGTAACCCT